TGTGGGCGGGCGGCGGGGGGCCCGGCCCCTGGTGCTCCGCCGCTTTGCTCCCGTCTCCCTGGTCTGCTGGCTCCGCAGCTTTTCTCGCCCCGGAGAAGGCGGGCGGCGGGACCAGGCGCCCCGCCGCTCCAGTCCTCCGGGGTGAGAAATCCCCGTTTGTAACTGCGGATCCGACATAAGTCGGATCTGCATAACTCGGGGACTGCCTGTAACCACAAAAAATGTCAGCAGTTACACATTTACACAAATACACAATTTTTAACATCCCTAATTTGGAAACGTTTTTCTTGACAAGCCATAAGTACATGAAGCAGTTTTGAAAATGAAAATTGATGTTTTGGAACATTGTTCAGTGGCAGAGGATTATGTGGAAAATTCTTTGACTGGTCCGTCACAGAATGCATCCTGATTTATGAAAGAGATGCAAGCGGAGAGAGGAGCAAACGTAGCATTTTCTAAGAAGAGCATGTGTCTACAAAGCATAAAACATACTGCTTGCACATACTTAAGCTTTTTCCTCCATTCTTGAGTTCTGCTTATATGCTTAATGAGCAATAAAGGAGTTAATATATGGAGACAAATTTTTGTGCTGTAGTGCAGTTGGAATCTATTGATTTGCGAGGCCAATTCCAGGTCTGATTTTAAACTACTCTGGCCAGCTATCATCCTGGAAGACTGTTATGCAGTTATGAAACCTAGAGTAAGGTAAGTTTGAGGCTATATTCTTACCAAATGTCCCCTTTGTTGGGAGCTGCAGGTATAGTAGGAACTTGCTATTCTTAGTGTTCCCAGCCAAAATAATCCATAGACATTACAACCCCATGCACTTGAAGAGTAGAGCAAAGGAACTGGCTCTCTCAAACAAATGTCCCATAATTTCTTACTGTTTAATGATATTTCCATTGAAATGCTTCTCTGTGGCAACTCTAAATCAAACACGTCATCCTAAAATTGCCAAATACAAAATTTAGAACTAGCACCAAAGAGGAGTCAAAGGGATTTTTGTTCCTCATAGGAAGAATAAGATGACACACACCTTTATACAGGATTGAAGAAAACAAAACAATGAATATTCTTCTTGTTCATTCTTGTTGAAAGTGCCCTTTCCCCTGTTAGAGAAGAAACAGGTGACCCAGGAGCGGATGGGGTAAAAGGAGTTGCTTTATTGCCTACGCACATTTACCTCAGACATTCAACATAATGTCTGAGTGGCAACAACCTGGTGTTAATCACACCTTTTTATCTATTTTAGTATGTTAATTCACACGCTTATCACTACTTTTCCTAAAGCCTTATTTAGTAATGTTAACTCCCATAAAATGAATATTAATAAGCAAATAATGAATACAATTTTCTGCCCCTAATTACAGAACTTTCAATCAAATCAACACATTCCCATGCTTCCAACTAACAGGTTACAGAGATTACAAAGGATCTGACCCTGAAGATGTGTTATGCAGAGCCAATGAGGATAAGCAAAAGACACAACAAAGTCAAGCTGCATGCTTATTTATATTCCAAGGCTGCCAGGACAAAGGGGAAGAACATGTTTGAAGGGCAATGGCAATGCCTTTTCTGGCTAGACCCTTTACCTACTCCAACAGCCCCCATAACTTCAACAAACTTGAAATCAACTTTCACCTTTATTACTGCGAATTACATTGGGAATGTCATGAAACTTTTTAAAATTATCTGTTAACATCTTGAAAATATGACCCCCTCACTGAACAAAGTCCAGAAATGTCCTTAATGGAATGGAATCCAGTTAATCAAGATTTGTAGAAGACTTGACTAATTTTAGCAACTAAAAGGATACAAAGTTTATATTTTATCTATAGCATAATCAGTTAATAAATCCTTCAGCGTTCAGTTAGTCCTCCGATTATTGCACTCTGCCTCATATGATTCCTTTTAATTACGATAACAAGCTTCAGTCTAGAATGTATCATCTAAATTTCTTCTGTTTCTTGTGTATCCTAGTATGTTTTAGGAGTACACCTGTCCAAAGTATTAAGAATATTCCTAATTAATGCTGTTTATCAAATGAATAATTCAGCTGAACTTTCTGCAGATAAACTGATCTAGGTAATATTTTGCTGTCATAGCTCCTGGAATCTTTAACATCAGTGTTTCAATAGATTATTTCCAGTGCCCAAACATCAAAGCTACTCAGAAGAATGAGTTGACCTTTTTGCATTGCTTTTGTGTATTATTAATAAAAGCTATTAAAACTAAGACTTTGATTAGATGGAGAATTATAAAGCTCATAAAACAAAACCCTTTCTCTTCTTAAAAACAAGAAAAATTGCTCCCTTGATTATACTCCAGAACCCGATATACGATAATGAATAGGGATGTTAGATAATAATTAATTGAATAGTTGTGTAACCGCACAAAATATTATCTGTTACAGTACTGTTTGGTAGTCTCTGGGGGTGGGACCAGCTGTTGGTTCACTCCTGTTCTCACTCCCAGGGAGCCCCCCTGCCCTTCTGGCTCTGCATCAGAAGCAGCAATGCGGCATGGTAGGTGGGAGCCAGTCCACCGCCTGCTGCCCCACGCTGCTACCTGTGATAGAGGCAGCAGCATGGGTTGGCAGCAGCCTCTATCTACAGAGGGGCGGGGGCTGACTTCCCCCTGGACAGAGGGTGTACTGGCATTCTATGGGGCAGCCTCTGTACACAGTGAGTCTAGGCCCACCACAGACAGAGGTTGATCCGCGGCAGCCTCCCCTGCCACCTCCTCTCCTCCCCCCCCCAATGCCTCTGATAGGCAGCAACGTGGGGAGGGCAGGCAGCTACATGCAGCCGGCATGCAAGGAGAGCTGGCTTAAAAGCCAACTCCCCACATATATCAGCTCTTGTTTCCCCTCTTCCCCCATGCTGCTGCCTCTGATACCAGAGGCAGTAGTGGGGAAAGTGCTCCCATGAACCAGTATGTGTGGGGAGCCGGCTTGCATTTACCAGCTCCTGCCTGCCCCCCTCACCCTCTATGCTGGTGCCTCTCTATCAGTGGCAATGTTAGGGTGGGGGGCAGCTCCACAAATCTGATGTTCATGGGGAGACAGCTCTTGCTTCCCCCCCCCCCACCACACACACATTCTGCTCTGCGTTTCTTTAATAGGCCCTTCTTGTCCCTTATTTTTGAGTTCTGATTTGTTTGAAAGCAGGCTAATCCTAGTCATAAAGATGTTTCTTTTTGGAATAGGATGTATTTGTATTTCTTCCAAAGATAGAAAACTACTCAGTTTTCATATTGAGCACAAACTCAAACAGGCAGATCTCCTTAAAAGCCTGCATCCTTGAGCTCAGCTTTTGCAGACTAACGTATTCTAAAGCATTCAGATATTGCAAATACTTTAGAAATATTGTATCCTGATGTGAGACTTTGCAAGAGGGCTTATTGTCAGAAGCTTGTCAGTTTCAGAGATACCATTGTGGCTTCAGCTCCTACTGAAATACAAGGAGATTAGTCAAACAAGGTGAGGAAGAAAAGGAATAGCTGCTTCCTCCAGTTATCGAATAAATGGATGCTTATTTTGCAACCAGTAAGAACTTGATTTTATGTGAAGTAACAAAGCTCTTTAAAGATTTTTTTTTTTCAGGGGTAGGACATGGGGCACATTTTTTTCTTTAAAGATTTTTTTTCAGGGGTAGGACATGGGGCACATGGTTTAGAACATTTTTTTTTATTTCAACAAATTGGAATTAACATACTCATTTTCAGATATGGCTAAAGTGGAACATTAACTGTTTTTACTTCACGTAGTTCTCAGAGGTACTACTTGAACATTTTGTTTTGTCAGATAATCCTGTTTTGCAAAGATTGGTGTTAGTTTTAGACACCTTTGTAGATTGCTCCTAGAAGTGAGTTTCCTTAGCACTTGCTGCTTATTTTTTGGAAAGTACTAGAACTCCTATTTTCTTTCTTTGGTGCTCCTGTGATACAGTGACCTACCTCATCAGCACTCAGAAGAAATGAAGAGGTAAGTGGTATTACTCAGAGTAGTCCCATTTATCTATTGTGTAGCTCCTATAGCTTGTCTCATCTTTATGAAATAGTGCCAAATTTTGCTTGAGGGTGAGCTAACATCCAGAGAGTTCTTCATCGTAGCATATCAAGTTGGAACTTGTGTAAGTTGTATACAGCTCTTCAAATGTATTAAATTGCAGTGAAATACTAATCTTTGGATCCTGTCATCAAACTCACTTTGCAATTTGTACACACCCTTCCCCCCAAAAGTTCTATATTAATGATTAATAACCATTGCATTCTTTAGCCCTGAAGATTCTGTATTGAAATACAAACCTGTATCTTGTCATTCTGTAAAGCAGTTTGAACAATTATGGGATAAAATTTTAATCTTGCTCCAGATTTTAAACTTAAAGCAAAGTTTTAATTTGGTTCATATTGTCTCAAATACTTAAATATTGTCACACTAAGCATTAACATTTGAGTGAGAATGTTGTATCAAGCAACAAAAACCATTTGTCAAACATCTGCACTATAGCTTTGTATGAATAGTAATTCTTTGCATTATAGTAGTACCTAGACACTAGCTAGGTTTATGGCTCCATTGTACTAAGTACTGTTTAGATATTTAGTAAGAATCCTAATCTTGAAGACCTTAATGTAAAAATATATAAAACTGGATAAAGGTGAGAAAGATGCTATTTTTAGTTTACAGATGAGAAATAATGGCACAGAGAAACTGACTTGCTGAAGATTAAGCAGGGAGTTTGTGTCAGAGCTGGAAAGTGAACCCCCCATCTCTGAGTCATGGCTGAGTGTCTTAAACACAGAGCAGCTTTCTTCTGATGTCTTAACCTGCATTTTACCATTGAGATAATTCTTGAGTTAAAGACCAGTTGTAGAGTGCTTAAGTGTGGGAACTACTAGCTTTATTCTTGTTCCTGAGGCAGAGGGAAACTTTATATTATTCAAGTGTCTAATTTTTTAGGTACCAAAACAGTCTGATCTGCTGTGTCAGTCTGATAACCAAAATCGCCAAGTTGAAAATCCAGGTGGAAAGAAACAAGTATCTTACAGAACCGAAATTGTTGGCGGTGTTCCCATCATTACGCCTACTCAGGTAATAACATTTCCTTACTTGTTATGAAGCTATTAGTGATGGAGTTGTGCAAATGTGTCTGTCTTATCAGGATACTGAGACGTACATTTATTTCATGGTATCTAGGTATCACTTGAACTGGCTTAGTTTTTTGTGGCTGCATAGAAGATTACATTTTTGAGCGTTGAATATGTTGCTTCCGAGAATTAGACTCTTCCTCCCATATATAGAGCAAGATTTAAGAAAAGGGACTTTATGCACTGCAGTCTACGGGGCAGTGTGCAGAGCCGTGTTCTCCTTTCCTTCCCAGGGTCTGTACCGCCAAAGGGCAGCTGTCCCAAGTAAACACCCCACTCCCTGAGCTCCATGCAGCACCCTAAGTCCCAGACCCCACATCCTGTCATGAGCTCCCTCCCACACCCCTAATCCCTTGCCTGGAGCCTGCTCTCACACCTAACCCTCTGCCTCAACCCACAGCTTGCTCCTGCACTGTAAACCCCTCATTTTTGTCCACACCCCAGAGCCTAGGTGGTCCCCCAAAATCTAATAGCCCTGGGCCACCCAAAAGAGTCAATCTATTCCTGCCTCTCTGAATTTGAAATGAGTGACCATGTCAGAGTTGATCAGTTAGCTGGTCACTGACATTAACTGTTATAAGGGTTAGAATCATAGAGTCATGGAATGGACCTCAAGAGATCATCAAGTCCAGTCCCCTGCCCTCATGGCAGGAGGTTGAAACTGTTTCAACTGGGACACTCGGGTCTGGCAACGTCCCTGGTCCGGTAGGACTACAAATGTTGTTGGACCATAGAGTCCCGTTGTAGGATCAGACATAGGCACCCTGTGGGGCTGGCAACCCAGCCAGGCTGGCTTCAGAGGCCAGCCCTGCAGAGGGATCCGGCTGAGCCAGTGGCAAGCTGGGTCTGCTTTGGTCCTGGCAGCGGGGCCGTGGTAGTGGGACTGCAGGCTGGTTCAGCCAGGAGCTCTGGTAGTGGGACTGCAGGCTAGTTCAGCCAGTGCTGCTGCAGCAGGGCTGCAGGCCAGGAGCACCAGCAGCGGCGGTCTGTCATAGCGGAGCTGGGATCTTTATAGAGATGGGACTGTGGGCTGCTGTGGCAGGGCAGCGGGGTTGGTAATAAATGGGGAGCCTACTAGGAGGCCAGTGGCGGAAGCAGGAAAGATCTTCCCTGGTCTGGCAAAGTCCCTTGGCTGGGACCACTCAGGTCTCAAAAGTGCTGGACCAGGGAGGTCCAACCTGTACTTGTTTTTGGATTTTGCAGTGGAGGAGAAAAAAAAACTGATTGGCTCCACAAGCCAAGATGATGTGCTAGAAATCTGATTTTTTTTTTAAAGTTAGTAATAGTTAGAAATAGATAAACACTAATTCTGAGCTGGACGCCCTATGTACTACCTTGTTCTCCTCTTTGATCACATTGTGGGATTGGTTGTTCTGAACACTTGCATGATTAGCCTAAATCATAGCTGTGCAATTACCAAAACTACTCTACCTGTAACCACAGTCACACCATCAATTAATGTTTTTAAAGAGGTGAATGTTGCTTTTTAGGTCTTCAACATGCTATTTTAATTGCTCTGTTTTAATGTATTCATAATCATCTGCTGAACAGAGTTTTGCCCTCAAAAGCTCATGATACTATATATATTTTTGTTAGTTTCTAAGGTGCCACTGTAGTGGAATTTGCCCCTTGCCCGAAAAAGATAAGGAACTAGCCTAACGGCAGTTAGGGGCCCACTAGCCTGTGAGCAAGAATGAAGCTGTATTTCACATTTTCTAACTTGTGACAGGCACAAGCAGGCAGAAATCAGTAACATAGCTATGAGAAAGTAAAAACCGCACATGGGCATAAGATAAGAGTACCCCTCCCCAACTACTGGAATGTCAATCGTGAACGTTAGAAATAATGTATTGCTGTGCTTTAACCAATGAAATGTAAAAGCCAATCAAACTGTTATTCATGTATCCGATAAAAGGCTATGCACAGAGCGGCACGGGGTCGCTCCTCACTATTTTTTTTGCTGTAAAGCTCGAGGGGACGACCATCAGCGCTGATTAATAAAAGTCTGGTAAATCCTCCTTCGGGCATCCGTGTCATTCTGTTACACTGGTTTGAGTCCGGTATGGTTACACCACAAGACTACTCGTTTTTGTAATTTTGAGCAGTACCTGGCATTCTCCATCAGACCTTCTTTAGATATTTGTCAATATTAGGTATTTGCTTCTAAACAAGTCAGGGATGAGGTTTACTGGCTTAAGTTTGATCAAATTTAGGGAACCAAATACCCTTCAAATTTTTTTTATCACTTGGGAGCAAATACTGAACATCTTGAAACCTTCTCTGAATTTTTTTTTTCTAGAAAGAAGAATTAAATGAATGTGGGGCAGGTGGTGACAAAAATTACTTGAAACGGTCACAAAGCCACCTTCCTTACTTTACTGCTAAGCCTGTCCCAGACAATGCTGTTATCAAAGCTGGCTATTGTGTTAAACAAGGCGCAGTGGTAAGTGATTTGGAGAATAATGAATTCCTCTTGTCAAAGAGGCTTAAAAGTTATTATAGTTACTGTCCGTATTTCACTGAGATCAGTTGATATTGATTTTTGGTTTTTCCCAAATTAAATACTAATGTTGCTAAAATATTGAGGATAATTATGATTTTATCAAAAGGGTGATACTTTAGTAGTATGTGTTTTATCTCTGTATTGGTATTCTTTCAGCTTTTGGGGGTGTGTGTGTGTTTGTTTGTGCTTCTATGTGTTTTTGTAGTAGGGTAAATTGGAGAAGAGGTGGGTTTTAGGCTGTCAGTAATTAAGGGATGCCCTTTTGCAGCTATGGGCATGTGCAGCTATCTTTTTGTAGTGAAAAGTGTATAGAAGGTATCTGGACTGAAGCAAAGGGTTTACTGCATACAGGATTTGTAAAGAGTGAAGTGATTAGAGAAAGTTTTTAGTTGTTTTGTGGGGTTTCGAGGAGAAATTGTGTAGTTTCAAAGGTGTGCAAGAGACTGGTATTTAGCCAAACAGATTGAGATTAAAGGACTTGCACGTGTTATCTTCAAAGCTCTTCACCAATATTGAAGTCTGGGAGCATGACTTTGGCAGACTTCCTGCTTCTGCTGATTAAACAGTTAATGGAACCACTAAACAACCAAGCTGTTGTTAAAGAACACTCAAGGAAGAGAAGGTCATTTCAGAAAAACTAAATGAACTGTCAGTCTTAACTACAGAGGAGTACCCATATCAGAGCTATCCTTTTTAGTTGATGGATCTAAAGTACCATCCCACATTCATGTGCTAATAGAATATGTTTTAGAACCCACTGATAAGTTAAACAATGAGTCACCAGGACCAGACGGTATTCACCCAAGATTGCTGATGGAATTCAGATATGAAATTTTTGTTTTATGAACGGTAGTATATAAACTATTTCAGAAACAAGCCTCTGTACCAGATGACTTCGAAGTAGATAATGCTGATTTTTAATAAGGACTCCTTTTCTTTGTTAAAGAACCAGGGGAGAGTTCTAGTGTTTACAGGCTGGTGAGTCTAACTTGATTACCATGCAAATTGGTAGAAAATATAGCAAAAAGCAAAATTATGAGGCACATAGATAACTCTCCACCAACAAATGATGATTAAGGCAGCTTTTATAAAGGGAAGCCATGTCTCACCAATCTATTAGAACTCTTTAAAGGTCTGAATAGACACATAGACAAAGATGATGCAGATGATATAGTGTATTGGGATTTTCAGAAGGTCTTGGACAAGGTCCCTCACCTCCGGTTCTTATAGACACTAAGTAGTCATGGAATAAATGGGAAGGTCTTTCCTGGATCTGTACTGGTTAAAAGATAGGAAACAAACACTAGGAGTAAATGGGCAGTTTGCACGTTGGAGATGGGTAAGCTTTGTGGTCTCTGAAATATCTGTATTGGGACCTGTACTGTTGGACATACTCCTTCATGATTTGAAAAGGGAGCAAAATGGCAGAGTTTGCCGGTGATACTTTAGTCAGTATAGTTAAGTTCAAAGGTTATAAAGGGATCTCACAAGACACTCAGGAAAGATATGGAGAAATTGGAGAAGGTCCAGAGAAGAGCAACAAAAATTATTAAATGTCTAGAAAACTTGGCCTGTGAGGGAAGACTGAAAGAATTGGGTTTAAGTTTGGAAAAGAGAAGACTGAGAGGGGATATAATGGCAGATTTCAAGTAACTAAATTGGTGTTAAAGGAGGAAGGGCAGAGGGGGGAATATAGAGGTTATGGAATCTGCATCCTTGGAGATATTGAAAATGAGATGTGAAAGATTAATTGGTAAGCATCACCCTTAATGGGTGATGCTTACTGGTTCTGGTTAACTGGTGGGAGCTAGAGTAGCTTCCCGCCTGCCACAGGAAGGGGGCTGTTCCAGCCCCGATGGGGCCCACAGTAGATATGGGCTGCTCTGGTCATCTGGGACTGTTCTGGTTGTTTGGAGTCCCTTTAATTGTAACTTATAATTTATAAGTTTGCCTTTTTCCCTAAGAGAAGCTTTCAAGCTTACACAGAGCTCTTCATGTCTTTCTGTTCTTTCTCTCTGTTTACCCTTATCCCAGTTTTCCATTCAAATAATCTTATCACCAGAGTCATACCATCCATAGAACAGTCTAGGCAGCAACCCCAGGCCCTGTGGTTTAGGCCCCTCCACAGTGGCTGCCTTAACTGTCCTATGGACGGGGTCCCAGGGTGGTCATGAGGATTATCTAGGCAGAGGGGCTTGGGGGGGAGCGCCCCCCCCCCCCATGGCAGTGGGAGCTGGAGCAACTTGGCAGCCTGCTCCACTTTGCCCCACCCTGCCATCCTCTTCTAGCCCACGGGGTTCGTCTTCACCGTGGCAGTGGGAAGTAGAGTGCTCTGGTCTTAAGATGTTCTGCTTCCCTTCCCATCACTGCAGAGAATCAAGAGTGCAGCCGCAGGGCAGGGCAGTTTGCTGGGTCATTCCAGCTTCCATTGCTGCAGTGAGTGGGGGGATGACTCCTGCTGCTTCCTGTGCCAGGCCCTCTGGTAATACCTCTGGCTTTCATTGCTTAGGAGTGGGTCTGGGAATAAGGGGTAGAGCTGGGGGTGTGGTGTCAGTGGAGCAGGGACAGAAGTGGGGCCTGTGGCCAGTGAGATTACCCAGTGTCCTGCATCTGGGGCACTGGGAGGGAGTGCTGCCCTAGGCTCCACACCTCCCAGGGCCAGTCCTTCTCATCACTTCAATCCCATTTGTTGTTCTAGGTCATTGGATGTGTATAGCGAATGAAGTGTGTGTTTGATCTATGCTCTGCATGTAGAATGTGACATAGAAAGTGCATATTTCACATTTGCCCACAGCGCTTTTTGAACAGATTCCTTAAATCAAGGAATATGGATCTCACTGACCCAGAGTGCGTGTCTTCTCTAGGATTGTAGTTCTCAAAATTTTCCCCAGAAAACATCTTTCTGTCTCTCATATTTCCAAGGAAGCATGTAGACATTTTTTGCCACTTCCTACTAGGGATGTAAGCGAGTAGTCGACTAACCGATAAGCCTAGTTAATCTAGTTGACTACTCACATCCGTCCTCCCCTCCCGCCTCTGTATTAGAGGCAGCAAGAGGGAGGGGAAGCAAGATCTGGTGTTGGGGGGGGGAGCCGGCTTAAAAGCTATTTTCCCTGTAGCACCATCTTTGTGGTGCTGCCTCCCCGCTCCTCACTTCTGCCTCTGTCAGAGACAGGAGGCGATGTGCAGGGGAGGCTGCCATGAAGCATCCTCTGCTCTTGTCTGCAGGAAGTCCAAGCTCCCTTGTTTGCAGCTATCCCGGATCCCTGCTTGGACCCCCTTCCCCTCCCTCTCCCCCCACAGACAGGGGCTGCTGGGCCCGGGGGGTCATTCGCAGCACACACCAGGTCTGGGAGCTACCCTCTCTGTGGCTTTTCAGTTTAAATATAGTAGCAGTGTGATTCTTAAAACCTGTAATTTAAATAAGGAATGGGGAACGTACGACCCAGGGGCTGCATCTGGCCTTCACCTTGCCTGGACTCAGCTCCCAAACCTTGGATCTCCCCCTATTATCAGGGAGCCAGCATTTGGCACTCCAGGGCTGCAGCACCCCCGCAGGTCTCCCCCTCTCCTCCCCCCACAATCCCCCTCAAGGCTGGAGCACTCTTCAGAAAGCAGCATATGTGGTTTAAAATAATCTGAGTAATGAAGGTAGGAAACAGGATTACCATGAGTATGAGTAACTGGAAATAGAACTGTGACAGTTCAAGAAATATCCATTAGCTTTTTACAGGTTGAACCTCTGACCAGCAACATTTATGGTCCAGCCTAATTTTAATTAGCTGGATGACCACTTATCATGGTTATGGCCAAGTTTCCTGTGGTCCCATAAAGTTTGTTTATAGCCACCAGTCTTGGTTCAGTGTTGTTATTAAGCTTTAATTTACCCCCTAAATGTCTTCTAAGAGCCCAGTAAGCAGTGGAAATGTTGGTAATGCTGCTAGACAATATTGAACTCCTGAGGTTCGGCAAATTTTCTGGTTCGGCACCAGTCAGGTCCTGAGTGCCAGACTAGAGAGGTTCTGCCTGTTGTACGAAACGCTGAAATGAAAAAATTGGAAAATGCAGCTTCTACATAACCACTAAAGGATCACTGATACACTGTTTTAAGAAAAAAACTAGTTAAACTGATTGAAATTAAAGGGAATTTTGTATTATTTGAGGATTATGATATTTTGTTTTTCTTTTAATAGATGAAGAACTGGAAGAGAAGATACTTTCAATTAGACGAAAACAAAATAAGCTATTTCAAATCTGAACAGGTATGTTTCTAAATGTTAAGCACAATGCTATATTTAAGCTTGACTGCATGACTGAACACTTCCTTTTTCTCTCACCTTCACGTGACCATTGTCAATAGCAAATTCAGAGATATGCAGCTAAGATACAAACACCCAGATTGCATGCAAGCACCTAACTGAATAAAGATTGAAAAAACAATAGTAATTAGTAGAAATTGTTTGGCCGGTATTTAAATAGGATTTTTATGTTCCTTTGTCTGGTCTTTAAATTGTGCTAGTAGCAGCGTTCTGTCCAGGCCCTTATCTGGCTTGTTTTTAATCTATTTTGGACTTGCTGGCCAGAAGCAGTTTTGTCATCTCTTAACCATTGTGGTTAGTTAACCAAGTTATTGCAAAACGTAAGCATTTAGGTTTACTTGAATTAAAATTGTGGGGGGACGGGCGGGGGAATGAAGAAAACTAGCTAGTCAGATTTCAGTCTCTGCTAGGAGAGTGATCTGATCATTGATGAAGTTTTTACTTTGTTATGGGACACAGTGATTTGGGGAACTTTCAATGTAGCACAGTTCTTTACGTAATGCCCATAAGCTAGAACTGTAATTTTTGATAATTCACCATTTCATCCTCTTTATACAGTTACAGGAAATGTGCGAGTTCATTAGTTATTGTTTTTTGTGTGTTCTGTCCTCTTGTCTTCTAGTTCAGTGTGAAGAGGACAATGTAAGTTCCTGTAATTTCCTCTCCTCTTTGTTAAGGTTCAAAGATCCATTAAAATAAGTACTTCATCGTGCTTCCAAATTTGGTACAGAATCAGATCCATTAGTTTACAGAAGGGGAATGTCAGGATAGATAACCATTGGAATAAACTGCTTAAGGAAAGTTGGGGAATCTCCATCATTGGAGATTTTTAAGAGCAGCTTAGACAAACATCTGTCAGGGTTGGTCTAGAGATGGTAGTCTTGCCATGAATCCACAGGACTGGACTTAATGACCTCTTGAAGTCCAACCTAGTTCTGTGATTCTGATTATATGATTACTATGCCATGCTTTAGAAAGAACAAGGTGGATTAAAGTGTGAGGATCTTTTTGGAACCTCTCTAGTAGAATATAATAAGTAAGTACACACATTTCCTAATTATTATTATTAATGCAAATTCCAAAGCATGAAAGCATGAATCAGAGAAGCTCAGTGCTTATGAGAATGAACCACATCTTAGCTGGAATTGCTACCTTGGAAGCAACATTAGTAGCATAGTTAGTTGCTATCTTGGATGTTTCCCTGTTATTGCGTAGTATTCCCTACTAACAAAATCCTGGTTATTTGAATCTTGAAAGAAATTAATCCACTGTTTTTTCCAGGAAAAGGAACCTCTACGGATCATACCTCTTAAAGAGGTTCATAAAGTTCAGGAATGTAAACAAAGGTGAGAATTGCAATCATTGATGCAGTGCATGTAAAAACTCATAGTAACACTATTGTTGAAGCTAGAATGTAGGATCTGCCTAAAGACATGTGGCTTAATTTCAGTTAATTTAGATGTTTGTAAAGTTGGTTTATTTAGGGCTATAAGATAGCTTTATGGCTAAGTACCTTGTGGTAATTAAACAGTGCAGTTTATGGTGAATAACATGATACCTTATTATTGAAACTTGCACTGCATGAACTCCAGTAGTGAACCAAGGTCAGAATGAACTATAAACAACAAATTCAAGGAAAGAGTTAGTGGTTTAACAGAATATTTTGAAGTGAGGATGTGTTAGTAAAGATTCTGCTGTAGGTGTGCTTGCACTTCATGAGACTTGTAGTCTTTTTGAATAGTAGTATGTCTCAAGGTCGTGTGTTAGCCTTAAGCCTCCTAGTGCTCCCTTCTTATGGCATAAATGCTACTCTTCCTCAGTGCCTTTTTACCATCTGTGACAAACCATAGAGTCTCTGTCCTGACAGAATGGATGCTGGCATGAGGCTTGCTTCATCGGGGACTAGGGTTTCCGTGGTTCTCCAGTCAAAGGAAGGGATGAAAGCTGTATTTGAGCTTTGCAATCTCAACAAATGCATCAGATTCTGTATTGTCACCTAAGCAACTACTTTATCCACCTTAAATCACAAAGATTGGTTTGTGGCCCTGGTGGTTTATTTCAATGTAGTGGTGGTCACAGCATACTTCAGGATTAGGGGAGTTCCTATCTTCCTGTACCAGGGTCATTGGTTACTGAGGGGCAGGTCCAGAAGGGAAGTAGATATGTCTGCAGTTGGCCAATCCTACTACAGTCGACTTCCGATAATCTGGAATTTATGGGACCTAGGTGGTGCCGGGTTATCAGATATGCCGGAGTATTAGGAGGTACTATAAGCTGGTTATGTATATACCGTATATAGTATATACTGTATATAAAGTGTTCTTAACCTTTTTTATTGTACATACTGTATACAGTATACTGTAATGTGTTAGGTTTTTTTAACCCTTTTGTACCCTTTTCGCTCAGTTCAGCTGCTGTCACTGTTACCTTGTGACTCATTTTTTGCCGAAGCTCACTCACTAGGCTCTTGCCATTTTGATGCCGGACTATCAGGAGTGCCGGACTGTTGGATGCCGGACTATTGGAGTTTTACTGTAGTAGTCATCTCTTGAACAGATTGTCCATTCTTCCTCTGTTGGTCCTGCAGTCTTTATGGTTGTGAAATGTTCAGAGCAGTGTGTGCCAGGTGTAGCTTCAATTGCTTCCTATTCACCAGGACAGTTTTTCCTTAAAAAGAACAGATGGTTCCTTAAAAGTTTGTTGAGCACATGTAGGGTTGTAAAAGTTCAGAGACTATGGTTAGACTAAGAATCTTCTCTGCATATCGCTGTCAAAGATCTTTGTTTGATCTATAATGCCTGCTAAGCCCTTTTGAGATCACTTCAGTGCATATCTTTAGTAACAATACCACCTCAATGTAATATGTGGACAGATGGTGAGGGGGGGAGGGTGCACACACAAAGTATGCTGAGTCAAGAAGTGATAAGGCTCTGGCAGTTTTGCATTAGGAAAATATTACCCTCATGGCCAATCACTTACCTGGGATCTGAAATCACAAAAGGTCCCTGAAGATCTTGTGGTCCAGTTCTTGTAGTTTACGCATTCTGACAATCTGCTCACCACTGTAGAACAAGAAATGTTAGCTGTTCTTCTGCCCAGGGACTATTTGACTGATGCTTCTCATATAAGCTGGGAACCAGCTCTACTTTTCCTCCAGTTCTGATCATCCCACAAGTTGTTCCCAAGATGGATTTGAACCGTGCCCAGCTCATGCTCATTGTCTCCACTGTGCTGTTTCAGAGGTGATCAGTTCAACCATATCCTAACACCTCTCCCTCATCAATCAGGTTTTGCATGTAGCACTCAGCTCCCTGCATCTTACAGTTTGGATGCTTCATGATTAGATGAGAACAGTGTTTGGAGACAGTTCAGCAAGTCTTGCTCAATAGCAGGAAGCTCTCTCCCAGAGCAACCTCTTGTAAATTGTGAGTAGTTTTCAGTATATTTGTTAGCCTGCAGAGTTCATGTGAAGCTGGCTTCTATTTAGGGTTGCCAGGTGTCCGGTTTTCTACCGGACAATCCGGTTTTTGGGCCCTCTGTCCGGTAAAAAAAAAAATCCAGAAAATACCAGACATGTGCAATGTCCGGTATTTCCTGGCTTTCTGGCTGGGTGCCGGACGGAAGCCTGGCAGGGGCGGTGGGAGTGACTGGGAAGCGGGGTGCGATCGGCGCTGGGAGCCCTAGTTGCGGATGAGGAGGAGGGGCATCCCGGTCCATGCTCCTGCTTGCTGGTCAAGCGCATGGTGGAGCCGCAGCCGGACTGACTCGTGTGGGACGGGAGTGCCCTAGAATCTGCACAGCCCGGGTCAGTCCTGCTCTCCTCCAGCTGATTCGCTCCCCTGCTCCCTCCATGAGCTCTGCGTCCCGCTGGCTGGTTCCTGCTCCGGATCTTCCCTGGCCAGCCCCGTTGCACCCCCCCCCCAGCCCTGCTTCCAGTGGCCAGTTCTCCCCTCTTCCTCCTCCTGAGCTCCCCCGGCCAGCTCCGCTCCCACCACTCCCCACCCCAATATTCCGCAGTGATCCTATCCCTGTGATTACCACAGAGATTTAAACTAAGAAGCAGCTTGCCCCCCGCTGTCCCTCCCGACACCCCTAGCCCCCGTGCTTACCTGGTTCTGCAAGGCTGCCAGCGCAAAATGGTCTTGGAGTGGTGGGAGTTTGTGTTTTTTCTCAACAACTTTAGTGTCCCGTATCTCCCCCCCTTTCCCTTCAACAGAATTTTTTCTCGTTTTTTTTTTGGGGGGGGGGGAGCTGTTCAGTATTTTTGTTTCAACCATCTGGCAACCCTACTTCTATTTAGGATATCTTGTTATACCTTCAGTCTTCTGGTCTTATACTTATTTTTTCGAGGATTCCTCTAGAGGTGATTTCAGCTTTTCACCTGTCTATACGCAAGAAGTCTGTGTTTTCAAATCCTATGACAGTGAAGTGCTTGAAATAAGTAACTCAATTCATTTGCTGGTTAAAGAGCCACTTTCTTTGGGGGACCTTAATAACGTCTTAGTGGCTCTTTATTTTTTTCCTTCTATGTCAGAAAACTGCCTTCCTTGTGGCAATAAATCTGCAAGGAGAGGGGGTGAGCTGTAGTCTTTGATTGGCAGAGTCCCCTTACACACTTTTTCTGATCCTGCAGCCACACATGAAGTTGTAATCCAAAGCAGTTTCTCTTTTTTTCACTTGAACCAAGCTACATCTTTACCAGTGTTTTTCCCTAAGCTGCATTCACATGCAGAGGAACGGTTTCTTGGAACGTTGGGTTTTAGGCATTTTATCTAGATAGGAGCTAAGATTTCTGCTCCTCATCTTTGTTTCTGTTGGTTTGTTTCATATGCAGACTGAATGAAGGGTCAAGCAGTTTTAGACTATTTCCAGGTGGAGAACATCCTTTATCATAACACTGTATGAAGTAACTCAAGCTACACCTCAAAGGGTGCAAGCTTATTCCACCAGTGCAATGGAAACCGTGACAGCATTTCTAAGTGACATTCCAGTACTGGATATTTCCAGGACAGCCACTTGATCCTCTATGCATACTTTTACAAATCGTTATCCACTGGGGCATTGCTAGGTGTTGCAGGGCCCAGGACAATTTGCTATCCTCTGCCCTAGGCTCAGCCCCTATTCTGCCCCCATTCCAGCCTTCCCTCCCCCCCAAGCCTCCCTTCCCTCAGTGATGGGGCCAGCACACTCCTCTTCCCTCCACCACCAGTGAATAAGGGGGCAGGCCTAAACTGTTCTATGGATGGGATGTGTCTGACTGCCTTCCCAAAATTTGCTTGTCATCTGAATGCAGATATAATGGCAATCTTGCAGTCTTTGTTTAAATAGACTTCCTGTGAGGACCATTTGTGATTCACTGTAGTTGCATTTACTCAAAGAAGAAAATATAGTTATCTGTAACTGCTGTTCTTTGAGGTGTGATGCAGGTGTGTCCCATCTTTATAGGAGTCTGACATTCAGTGTAAAAGGACTGTGGGGGTCAGGACAGTGCAGCCCTAACTCAGCCACGTGAGGGCTGCAGAGTGAGCATCACCCCTAGAGGTACTGCTTGGCAAATTTCTCTGGCTCCAACAGGATGTCAGTAAAGGTGAAGTAGAGGGGAGGAGAGAGAACTTAGCACCTTTGGTCACTGTGACCCCTCACATTCAGGTTAGTGAGGCCCAGTGTCTAGAGTCCTTAAGGCTGCCCTTGTCCTCAGGGCAGCAAGGCCTAGTGGCTCATGCCCTTGGTCTCCAGGCTGTAGTGTCCAGTATCTCAAGCAATTGCCACAATCAACAGTAGGCTGGGCAGGAAGACCTGGGCCCACCCTACTTTACCAGGTCATGACCCAGAGCCCTGTGATACCAGTAGTCCTGAAGTGTAGGTTCCTTCCAAATCTTCACAGATGTGTTCTCTGGACTACTTTCTACCCTTGATTCTAGCTCGTACAGTTGTCTCTTGTCTCTGTGGTTGACAGGGAATCTAAGTGAGTAGGCGAATACTCGACTACCTGATAAGCCTAAGTTTATTGGGTAGTTGAGTGTCACTGGGTCTGTGAGCTGCCTCCACTGCAGTTCTGCAGTTTAAATGTAGTAGGAGCCGGGCTGTCTGCATATCCGGCTCCTACTGTATTTAAACTACAGAGCTGCAATAGGGGTAGCTTCTGGACCAGTGCAAGCCGGAACAGAGCACCTTCCCTTATTGACTAATTGTGTAGTCAATACAAATTGTATCAACTATATGATTAGTCAGTTACCTGCCTTTTAACATTCTTAGACTTCAGTGGACTTAAGTGTGTTCAGCTTCCAATATCTGGAGCTCAAGCAGCTTTGTGGCAGGAACCTGTAGCATTCATCCACTTTCTGTCTCAATCAGCCCAGACTGAGCTGAGCTGCTGCTTTTTATACCCTGGCTCCAGCAAGAGCATGCCCAGCAAGGGTGAAGTTGGCATAGCCTCTCAAATTGGCAGTGAGTGATTTACTCATTTTGGACTAGTGTGGGATTGATCTGTTCTTTCAGTTAGTTACACAGTTTTTCTTTTCGTAACAGCTTGAGTTCAATTTCTTTGATTACATTGATAGTAATTATAAACTACATCAGGAAAGATAAAAGTTCAAATTGAAGGGTGATGAATATTCTGCATATTCTGATTTTCTAGGGATAATGTTTTTAATTAGAGCAGTTTAGAAATCTAAATATTAAATATTTGTGTTTTGTCTTTGCAGTGATATAATGATGAGAGATAATCTATTTGAAATTGTAACAACTTCTCGAACCTTTTATGTACAGGTAATCTTCTACTCTGGGTAAAACCAGATCATTCTGCAAGAAAATTAAGCATAAATACTTTACTATTAATTTTCTCAAGTCTGCAGTCTTCCTCTTGGTTGCACAGACATCTGTTGTAAAATACAATAGTATTTCAAACCTTTCAATATCTTCAACTGTCTTGTCAAGTTAATATACTTTTTCTTCTTTGCAATTTTGGTCTGAAAATTGTATGATAAATGTCAGATTTGCAAGCAAGAAAGAGTTATGGAAATCCTAAACAGCCAGTCCATTATTAACATAAATACTCTTTTGAATTGACATTTGACATAGTTATTTAAATTCTATAGTGCCAAGTAAATGTAAAACTAATTTTCTATGAATAAAAATATAATTTAATTAAAAGTACAGATCGCTGCAGACTTAAACTACAGAGACCATTCAGTTCTTAGATCAAAGATAAAAGTAGTAACCGTAACTGATTAATGTGCAGTTTCAGTAGCCTTTGTAAACTAGAAAATAGTTCAGTGATTCTTGCCATATCATACTGAACCCTTAACAGTACATGCAATGAACAGGTACGCACACAGTCTGCTCACAGTTTCTTACCAGGCTTATTTTTTTTAAACTATACACATTTTCTGTATTTTAAAAATAAATTGAATGAAACACAACACACCAAATTTGCAAAAGCTCACGACCTAATAAATTTGTTAATCTTTAAGATGCCACTGCTCATTGTTTCTCCAGAGAATGAGAGTGGACTTCAGCAAGATAGATTTAATGATGATGCTAGAACATTCTTCCCAAAAGTCTGAATGAGGAAGTTGCACTTGTGAAATAGAGGTGAAACCAAAAAGTTAGCAAAAATGTGTCACCAGATCATTTGTTTATTTAACCATAAGTAGTCACTTAACACTACTGGTATTCTTCCTTGCAAGTTCTTGACATTAAAATCCCCCAAGTAATGTATTATGATGACTAATATTTGTTCCCTTTATGCAAGCTACTGTTGTTCTTATCTGAAGTATTCTCAACTGTTGTTTTATAATAACTTACTCACTTGCTAATGCACAAGTTGGATGTCTTATCATACTAATACATTTTTAAACAAGAAAAAGTTGTTTGGAACATTGTGTACATATGTTCTTTTTAGTTTAGTGTTAAATATTTATTTAATAGGATAATGAACATAATGGAGCAGCTGTTTCTTTTAAGCATTTTAATGCTTACTGTGAGTTCTGCAGACTGTAAACCTTTTTAGAACTCTTTGGTGAAAAAGACATGTCTTAAATGTAGTGGAGAATAAATATATCACCATATTCCAGTTTCACTAAATTTTACTCGTATAGAATTTATCCGTAGAATCCTAGCTTTCAGCTGTTGAGAGATACTGATGAATTAGTCTAGCTCTAAAAACACCTCATACCTTAATGTCTTGTCTCACTGAAATATGCAAGTTCCCAGACAGTTTGATTGATTTTGATCAGAAGATTTTAATATGTTCTTGTCAACCTACTGCATGCTTTAGCAAGGTTTTCTTTTGTTAATTGCTGATGTATATTAATTTTGGCATCATATCTTAAAATGATTTTGGTGTGTATTCGGATGCTATGAATTATTTATATTAATAGTAATAATTTTTGCATTATTTTTACCAGTAATTTTGCATTACTGATATAATAGTGAAAACCCTAAACCAAACACCTCAAAAATGCAATTAGTTACTCCAAGGGACTCCTTGTTGAATCATTGAACATTGATTTAGAATTGTGTTGAGACTACAGCAGCTATTTTATTCTCATGTTATAAGCATACTTTCAAAAAAAGTACCAAACTCTCATAGTACTTCAGATACAGTTTGAATTTCATTTGAAAATAAATCTTGATGAATAGGGGGATCTTGTGTTTATATCGCTTATACGTGACTTTATGATAAAGCTGTTGTTGAGAATTAAGGGTGAAGTATTGTGAAGGACTCCCTGTGGGGCTTCTGCTTTTGAACTGTAGCAAGAGCAAGTTCAAAGGTGGAGGCAACCTTATAGACTAATCGAATAGTCAATAGAAATCCCATCAACTATTCGAGTAGTTAATTTAATTTAAATTTAACATCCCTATTTAAAACAACCCCATACATGTGAAAGTATGGAAATAGGCAATTTGAGTTGTCTTCCCCCCAGACACACTTAATTGGCTAAAATTAATACATGCCCTGATCAAAAGCAGAAATTGGCAACTTCAGTAATCCATACTGGTTCGCCAGTGCTTAAAAACAAGTGAAAGAAAACAGAAGAAAAGGAAGTATTACAAGTACAGGCAGTCCCCGACTTACGTGGATCCGACTTACATCGGATCCCTAGATACGAACGGGGTGAGGCAACTCCCGCACATGCGCAGCAGCATTCCCGGGGCTCGCTCACCTGGGTCCTAGGATCCTCCTCCTCCTCGGGCCGGCTCCGACTGGGGTCCCGCAGAGCTACCGGGCAGAGGAAAAGTGCCTCCCCACGCCCGCTGCCCCCCCCCCCCCCCTGCCAGCAACAG